GGTTATGGTCTGGTTACGGTTGATAAACGGTCTGGTTACGGTTAGAAATACGGTTAAGGTTAGCCTGTGGTCATGGCTAATTCCTCCTTCTCTCTCTATTATTCTCTCTCTTCTTCTCTCTTAATAAAAAAAAGTACTAGATCTTTACCGGATCAAAATTAGAAACTACCATTATACATAGAAAACATGTTTCTCATTCTCCTAATTGGTTTCTATGAATCTAAGTTTTGATTTACAAAAAAAATCATTTTGACTCTAATATCAAAAACCTCGTCGATCACTTCATATTGAATTCAGCAAACCCAAATTCTTCTGATTAAATGAGTTTTGATCTAAAACTGTAGGTGATGGTATTAAGCAAAAGGCTGTAGGCAGACAACACCACAAAGTTAAGGAAGGAATCATCTCGGGTGGAGAGAGTCGTGTGTCGAAGAAAGGGACGGTGGCGCTCCCGAAACCACCGGCTCAAACGTGAAAGTCATAAGCTGGAACTGTCAAGGTATAGGGGCTGACCTGACGGAGAACTATTTAAAGGATGTGTGGAAGAAGAATAAACCGGACCTTCTATTTTTGTCGGAGACAAAAAAATGTTTTTCTTATTTACAAAAATTTCAAGTTTGTTTGGATTACAATAAATTGTATACAGTTGAACCACGTGGTTATAGCGGCGGTTTAGCTTTATTTTATAATGATGAAATAAAATTGGAGGTTCTTTATGAGAGTAATCGGATTATTGATGTTAAAGCTCTTTTGGGACAACAAATTGTGTTTATGACGTTTGTTTATGGAGATCCTGTTGTTTCTCTTCGGGGTTCGGTGTGGGATAAATTAATACAACTAGGATCTAACAGAAATGCTCCATGGCTCATGGTCGGTGATTTTAATGAGCTCACTGGAAATCATGAAAAATTAGGGGGAAATTTGAGGCCTGCATCTTTGTTTGTTTTATTTAATTCAATGATCCGAGATTGTGGGATGTTAGAGTTTCCGTGTTATGGTGATCAATTATCTTGGAAAGGATATAGAAGAAATAATCAAGTATTAAGATGTAGGCTTGATCGGGCTTTAGGAAATGAAGATTGGCATAGTCTTTTTCCTTATTCCAAGGTAGAGTATCTCGCTATGATTGGTTCGGATCATAGACCCATTCTAATCAATTGTGAAAAAAATTTAGAAATTCCTAGACGACAGTTTCGGTTTGATAAGAGATGGATTGGCAAAGATGGTCTCTCAGGGGCAGTTGAATCGGGGTGGAATCGAACAAAAAATTTTAGAATCCCGGTGTTTGTGGATAAGATAAAAAATTGCAGAAATTCTATCTCATGGTGGAGAAAAAATAATATCCCCAATGGTGAGGCATTAATATCCTCTTTGAAGTCGGCTCTAGAGGAGGCAAAAAACGATGACTCAATTCCTCAGGTAGAAATTAGAAATGTTGAGAATAAATTAAAGGAGGCGTATCGTGATGAGGAGTTATACTGGCAACAAAAAAGTAGGAAATTTTGGTTAAAAGTAGGGGATAAAAATACTAAATTCTTTCATGCATCCACAAAGCAAAGAAGGGCACGGAATAGGATCTTAGGATTATTTGGTCCAGATGACTCATGGGTGGAAACAAATTCTGGTATGGAAAATATTGCCATTGATTATTTCATGGACCTTTTTAAAAAATCTAATATGAGTGGCATTTCAGAGATGGTACAAGAGGTAAATCCTCTCATTACAGAGAGTATTAATAGAGATTTAACCAAGGCGATCACAGAGGGTGAGATTAGGAAAGCTTTATTTTCTATGCATCCAGAAAAAACTCCAGGACCAGATGGGATGACGGCTTTGTTCTATCAAAGATTTTGGCATTCTTTAAAAGGGGATTTGGTTGCTCTGGTTAAAGATTTCTTCCGTACAGGACAGTTTGATAGAAGACTGAATGAAACAAATATTTGTTTGATTCCCAAGGTAGATAAACCAAAACGGATGGCAGAATTTAGGCCAATAAGCCTTTGTAATGTGAGTTACAAGATTATTTCTAAGATTCTTTGTCTAAGGCTAAAGAAAGTTTTACCTAGGCTAATTTCGGAAACACAATCGGCCTTTGTTTCGGATAGAGTAATTACTGATAATATTTTAATCGCGCAGGAAATGTTTCATGGGTTAAAAACTAATGCATCATGTAAATCAGATTTCCTGGCTATTAAGACAGATATGAGCAAGGCATATGATAGAGTCGAATGGGATTTTCTAGAGGCAGTTTTGATCCAGCTAGGTTTTGATGTAAGATGGGTTTCGTGGATTATGTGGAGTGTGCGATCAGTTTCATATCAAGTTTTATTAAATGGCCAACCCCGAGGAAGAATTACTCCTCAACGAGGTTTAAGACAGGGAGATCCATTATCACCTTATTTGTTCATTCTGTGTACAGAGGTTCTGATCGCTAATATTAAAAAGGCAGAAACAGAGAATAAGTTGACAGGCATAAAGTTAGCACGGGAGTGTCCGACTATCTCTCATTTACTTTTCGCTGACGATAGTTTGTTCTTTTGTAAAGCGGAAGAAGATCAATGTAAAAAATTTATGGAAATAATTAGGAGCTATGGAAAAGCTTCAGGGCAGGAAGTAAATCTTAATAAATCATCTGTTCTGTTTGGGAAAAAAGTATCATCACAAATCAAAGATAGGTTAAAAACCGTAATTGGTATAGATAAGGAAGGGGGTATGAGTTCCTATTTGGGAATTCCTGAAAGCTTAGGTGGCTCAAAAAGTAAAATTTTTAATTATGTTCGAGAAAAACTTAATGATCAGGTGAATGGTTGGTCAGCTAAGTTTTTATCGAAAGGAGGAAAAGAGACGCTGATTAAATCTGTGGCGTTGGCACTCCCTACTTATGTCATGTCTTGCTTTAAACTCCCTCAAGATTTAACAACAAAATTAACGAGTGCCATCTCAAAGTTTTGATGGAGTTCTAATGGTAGGGATCGAGGTTTACATTGGATAGCATGGGATAAAATGTGTAAGCCAAAAATTCAAGGTGGTTTGGGTTTTCGTGACTTGGATAAATTTAATGATGCAATGTTAGCAAAACAGTATTGGCGGTTAATACTTTATCCGGATTCTCTGGTTGCACGGGTGTTGCAAGGGAGGTACTTTAGGAATAAACATCCCTTAATGGCAAAGAAACCATATTCTCCATCTTTTGGATGGAGAAGTATTTTATCGACCAAGAGTTTGGTAGAAAAGGGGGCACGTTGGTCTATCGGTTCAGGATTTGACATCTCAGTGTGGAAAGATCGTTGGATACCTGATATTAATCCACGACCAGCTTCTGGACGAGGAATTTTACTGCATCCAAATCTGAAGGTTAATCACTTAGTTAATCCAATTACCAAGAAGTGGCATTTACCCATTCTTAATGAATTTATGCATCCGGAGGATATTCGTATCATTAGAAGTATGTCTATAAGTAAAACCTATAAGCCGGATAGGTTGATCTGGCATTATACAAAATCAGGAAAATATACGGTCAAATCTGGGTACTGGCTAGCACATAATTTGATAGGAGAGGCGGAAGAGAATCCAAGCTATACTGCTCTAAAAGCGTATGCATGGCATATTCGCACTCCACCAAAAATCAAGCATTTTATTTGGCAAATTGCCACGGGTACACTTCCGGTCATGGACGCCTTAGCTTCTCGCAAGATTCAGTGTGACACGGTATGTAAAAAATGTGGCGTTGAAATCGAGACAATTAATCATGCGCTTTTTGAATGTGCGCATTCGAGACGAATTTGGGAATTGTCTACAATTCCTATGCTCCCAGGAGGTTTTCCTTATAGCTCGAGATTCGCAAATCTAGACTTCATTTTTTGGAGTGTGATTCCTTGGTTAAGGGAGAAAGAGAAAAAGCATTTTTTCCATGGATTTTATGGTTTATATGGAAGGATAGAAATAAAAAGGTGTTCCAAGGAACTCAGTCTGAACCAGTAGATATCATAAATCAAGCTTTAAGTGAACAATTATCATGGGAAGAAGCCCAAATTAGTTTGACTGAAGTAACTGAACCAATAGAACCTGTATCTCCCCCTTCGCTAATTGTTCGATGTCGTATTGATGGTTCGTGGAAGTCGGAGAATATGTTTTCAGGCCTAGGGTGGTGGTGTTTCAGAGGAGGGGAGCAAACATATCTACTAGGTGCTAAAGGTCTTAGAGGGTGTCCCTCACCTCTCCATTCAGAATTGGAAGCGTTATTATGGGCTATGGAGAATATTCTTATAAGAAGGATTGACTGTCATACATTTGAATCAGATTGTGCCGAGCTTATTGCAATGGTACAAGACCCACAAGAGTGGCCAGCATTCTCCAACCTCTTAGACGATTTTCTATTGTTACGTGCATCATTTCCGTCGTTCTCTTTAACTAAGATTTCTCGTACTTGTAATTCAAAAGCAGATTGTCTCGCTCGTTCTTCCAGATCTCTTGATTCAGAAGTTACTTTTGTAAACAACTTTCCTCCAGTTTGGGCTACCAATCATGGAGTTCAATTTTAATAAATGTGTGGTTGATAAGAAAAAAAAAGAGTTTTGATCTCTAGTTTTTTTTTTTTTTGTAGTTTGATTTATCAAAGAATCAGCCTAAATTATTGCATTTTTATTTAACTGGAAAATTTATAAAATCCACTAAATAATAACTTTCAAATCTATTAGTGATGTCTTTCAAATCCACTAATAATAATATCAAATCCACGTTCAATGCATTGGAAATCCATCAAATTTTAAAAATCCATTTAGTAACTTAAATCTATTAAAAACCTTTGTCTTATAACACCCCCTATATATCTAGTAACGTTTGTAATTTATAGACTAAGAAAGAAAAAAAAGAACCTTAATAACCTTTTCGAAGGTTTAACCTAAATTTGCGTTACATCGCTCATCTCAGAGACTTCAAAACTCGACAATCGACACAATATGACGAATATGTCTGATCTTCCAAAAGATTTGGTGGAGGAGATTCTCTATAGGGTTCCAGTGACATCTCTTAAAAGAGTTCGATTAACTTGCAAAACGTGGAACACTTTATCCAAAGAGTTAAGCTTTTCAGAAAAGCATCTTGGCCAAGTAAAGGAAAAGGAGTTTCTCGTGGTCATGGTGATGGATTTTAGGGTTTCTCTTTTGAGTGTCAGTTTTAACAACAACGTTGAATCATGTATAAAGCGTGAAGGTCAAGTTATTAGCTTAGATGGTTCAAATCAACTCAAAGTACTTCAAAATTTTCATTGTGAAGGTTTATTGTTGTGCTCTTTAGTTGAAACTGCTACGCTCGTAGTTTGGAACCCGTATCTCGGGCAAACCCGGTGGATCGAGACCAGCCATGATTACCGAGTATATGCTCTTGGATATGAGAAGGTCAGCAAATCTTGCTGCAACTACAAAATCTTGAGATTTGGTTATTACAACATCTACGACTTTAACTCTGATTCAAGCTTTGGTAATTACAACATCTACGACTTTAACTCTGATTCTTGGAGGGTTCTTTATATCTCAGAATACCATCATTTAGAAGTAAATTTGGATCGTGATCTTGGTGTTTCTCTCGAGGGTAATACGTACTGGATTGCTTCAGATTACTATGAAGCCGAAACTCCTGTGTTCTTATTGTGTTTTGATTTCACAAGAGAGGTATTTGCGACGAGTATCCCTCTCCCGTTCAAGCGTCTTCGTTATGAATATGTTGTGGCTCTGTCTAGTGTTAGAGAAGAGCAACTTGCTGTGTTACTTCAACGTTGGGACTTACAAAAGTTGGAGATATGGATTACGAATAAGGTAGAGCCCAACACGGTGTCATGGGGAAACAAGTTCTCCGTGGAAGTGAATATGAGCTTTCTCAATGCCTTTCGGATTCCAAGTACTAGATTCTTCATCAACGAAAAGAAGAAATGTGTTGTGGCTTTTGACAAGCACGATGATAACGGTTTAATGAGCGAAACTCGCAATGTAGCTTGTATAGTTGGAGTTGATGGTCCTTTGGAAGAAGTAGAACTTGCTGAGCCTACTATATACGCATACGGTTTCCCATTTGTTTGCTCTTACGTTCCAAGTTTAGTGCAACTTCATTAGTCCAATTCTTGTTTTTTTTCTATGTTCATATTAATTGACTACTTGGTTCCACTGCCTTGTGTTGCTTTAGTGTACCATATAAGAAAAATGGCTGATACCATATATCAATATGAATAGATTGACTATGTACCTAGCAACAATTGACAAGGGCTTTCGTCGCAAGGGATTGTTCATAGATGAATAAGGTTTCTCTTCTCATATTCTATTGCTTCACTTGCAACAAATTCTCGATACGTTGAACGAGTTGGTTCGCTGGCAACGCACCCTCCTACAAGAACACCAACATGTAATAGAAAGTCAAGGAATGTTAAATAAACAAAACAACTCTTTCTAGTCTTGTTGGTGTTGAAAAACTTACGAAACGGTCCCAGATTTTTCCATCTTTGAATAAGATGAATGTGGGTAAAGCCTCAATCTGGTATTTGTTAGCAAGAGTCGGGTACTTCTCAGTATCAATTTTCACAACTGCAATCTTATCTTTCAGAGTTTCACTCACTTCATTTAGTATAGGTACCATAATCTGACATGGACCACACCTGCAAAAAAGATACACAACTCTGTAACCATATTGGAACACAACGTAATGATGCTAATAAATTGCAACTGAACATAAACTTACCATGTCGCATAGAAGTCTACAAGTAAAGGTTTGTCAGAGTTCTCCAACAAATCTTCAAATGAGTTGAAAGTTTGCTTCTTTGCTCTAACCTACATCAAATCATCGCGCCACAAACTCAGTCAATATGAAAACTCTTACGGAAAAAAACAAATGAACAAGTTCAGCCATACTTGTACTAGAACTAGAAGTAAACAACATTACATCAGAAACAATCCACTAAACATATATAATGTCAACACTTTCATCTAAAAGATCAAAAGAACAGAAGAAGAACATATATACTTGGTTTTTTCAGCTGAACAGATGTGACTACAGAGAAAGAACAGAAGAATCTACACCTTGTTCCAATTGGGAATCAATCTCAATGCACATATTCTAATTACACATACTGATTCTTCCTTAAGATTACACAGAACATAAGCTATGCAAAATGTGTTAGAACCACTAAACCAAGTCTCCAATGATGCAAATTCTGACTAGTACAACATTAGATCAAAGTGTTAACACTCTGCTTCTTTGTTTCTATTGGGAATCAATCTCAATGCACATATTCTAATTACAAATACTGATTCTTCCTTAAGATTACACAGAACATAAGCTATGCAAATTCTGACTAGTACAACATTAGATCAAAGTGTTAAACACTCTCCTTCTTTGTTTCTATTGGGAATCAATCTCAATGCTTATTTTCTAATTACACATACTGATTCTTCCTTAAGATTACACAGAACATAAGCTATGCAAATTCTGACTAGTACCACATTAGATCAAAGTGTTAAACACTCTCCTTCTTTGTTTCTATTGGGAATCAATCTCAATGCTTATTTTCTAATTACACATACTGATTCTTCCTTAAGATTACACAGAACATAAGCTATGCAAATTCTGACTAGTACCACATTAGATCAAAGTGTTAACACTCTCCTTCTTTGTATCTATTGGGAATCAATCTCAATGCTTATTTTCTAATTACAAATACTGATTCTTCCTTTAGATTACACTTACACAGAACATCTACCACCATGTTAGCTATTCATAATGTGTTAGAACTAAGTATCTAACTAATACACCATTAAATCAAAGTGTTTCACTCTCCTTCTTTGTTTCAATTGAAATCAATCTCAGCAATGTAAATACACAAAAACCAGAACCAGGTTCCAAAACTCACAGGACATATAGATTCATCAAATCGAAACAAGTAATCGGTGAATTAGTGAACGGAGAACTCACAGAGACTGAGGAGAAGCGAGACGACGACGGCGATTGAACACTCTCGCGGCGGATTCCGAACCGGCGAATCTGAGCAGGTAAGCGTACAGATGAGAGAGAAGATAGCGTCCGTGAAGATGAAATGGAGTTAGAAGATTCCGGTGAGAAACGAGGGGAGGCAAAGGCGGTGGGGAGAGAAATCGCCATTGAAGAAGTTTTAAAGTTTTAGAGCTTTGACATTTTCGTTTTGGATAAACAAATCCAATTTGTATGGAGAAAGTTAGAAGACGACGAGAGACAAATATATAAAATCCGGTTTAATAAAGGAGAGAGTTCAGTAAAATTAGAACCGGTTCGGTTTAGAATGGTTAATTAATAATAATACCTAGCCCTGGGCAGAAATCCCGGTACCGAAGAACCGCACCGGTTGGCATCCGGTTAAGGCGGTATCGGTTCGGGTACGGTTTCAACGGAATTACCGAATGGGTTTTGATGGCAAGGTAAAATGGACTTCGGTCCGGTTCGAGTTTTACCTTAAGTTAATATGGGCCACCGATTATATCCGATCCTCTAAGCAAACAAATATATGCCATTTAGGGTTATGATACACCCTAACACCAAGAGTTCTTTACTTTGACATACCAAAATGATGTTTTTTCATCGTTCTCATTTTTTCATCTGCTACTTGAGTTATTAAGCTCATGAACTTGATCAATCTTTTGTTATGTTTTCATGAGTTGTTAAACTATGTTAAACATATGGTTAAATTTAAGTTCTTAAGTTGTTGTTTTGGTTAAAGTTATGCTACTTATCGATTATTAAGTTCTTGTTTTGGTTATTTAATCGGTTATTTTTGGTTAATTAGTTGGTTATTTCTATTTTTAATCGGTTATATCGGGTTTAAATCGGTTATATCAGGTTTGAATCGGTTATTTGAGTATTTTGGTTACTGAAAATAACCGAACCGATCATAACCCGAAAAAAGTTTCGGTAGACTTTGGATTTTTAATTGGAGTAGAGATCACCGATCCAAACCCGGCCAGTTACTAACCGTACCGAACCGAATTTATTGTAAAATACCGAATGGTATTTATATGTCTAATACCGATTTACCCGAAACCCGGTTGGGTAGAACCGAACACCGATTGGGTACCCGATTGCCCAGGGCTTATAATATCTGATTGGTTTGAACGCAGCGAATACGGGAGTTTGGTGGGAGTGGTAAGCAAATTAATTTCATAGTAAAACATATTTATGAAAAAGTGTAAATTTTTTTGAATATAATTATTAATTAAAATCATATGTAATTACTAAAAAAAAGTAGTAAATAATTATTTAAATATTAAAAAATTATAATGAAACACAAACACCATGATTAATATTGGAAATTATAATAAAAATTATAAAAATTATTAATATTGGAAATTTAAAGTTAGAGAATGATTATTTTTTGAGAATTAATGTGTAGTTACTAACCTGTACCACAGCATGGGCTCATAATTTTTATTAATTAATAAATTATATTATTTGAATATTGAGTAAAATCTGAATGTGTAAATAGGTATATAATGCATGACTTCACTAATTTATTCTAATCGGGTAATTGTGTGTAATATCTCCTATATAGTAAAAGAAAAGTACACTTTTACATAGGTTGATGCGTCAGCTCAAAATTAAAAATTAACCCAAAATTAAAAAAATCGGATACTTTAAAATTGGATATTTAACTAGATTTGAATATAAATCAGATACATTCCCAGCGGATTATATTATTTTCATATCTAGATTTTGGATTTCCTAATATTTCTATAACTAATTTAAAATAATAAATTAAAAACAGTTTTATTCTCCTTTCACCTTTATTTGATCTTATTATAATTTATTATATTATAATATATATATAAATATAGAATAAAAAGTTCATTTTTTTGAATATGTTGTGATTTGAATTTTTCAAAGCAAATATATATTACTCAATTGACAAAAAATTTATTATAAACTGAAAATCTTATTAAACTAAAGTTTAGATATCTAAAACGGGTTCGTTAAATATTTTCATGAAATTTTATATTATATTTTATTGATAGAATAAGGTGTAAGACATGGACATTGGTTTATTGGACATTGGTTTTAAATCACTATAAACATGACCAGTATGTTGTTAACTATGAATAAGCATGAAGTTTAGCTTATCGGGCTTTCAATTTTGAAATTTTTGTTTGGATAAATAAAATTATTTATTCGAGCATATAAAATTTTAAGAAGTTTCAAAATATTATAATTTTTAAATGTTTAAGATATTTTAATATTGAAACCTTTAAAATATTCAAATATAAACAAACTATAGAATATTTAACATAGAGAAATTCTCTTTAATAACTTTTTATCATACCCTTTTGCAAAATTACCCTTTTTGCCATTTTCATTTTTGCCCTCTCTTAAATTTTAATGACTATTTTACGCTTATTTGAAATAATATTCCTTCCTTTGGACAGAATATTTCTTCCAAAAACTTTTCCACCAAAAATAGACAACCTATAAAGGTTATTTTTGTAAATCTCCCTTTAAAATATTAGAAACGGATCAGAATATTTTTGGAATTAGTCAGAACATGATACACACCACTTAAGTTTTACAATTAAATACTATTACTTCTAACCATTTTATAAAAGCTCATTAAGGTTACTACTGTAATCTTAATTGCCAGGTCGGTTTATGATTTGAATTTGTGACATAATTGAAAATGGTGGATCTTCACTCTCTTCGTTAGCGCAAACAGCCAATTTTAATTGTTAGAGTTATTTTTAGAGTTAGCAAAATTAGTTAATCTGATCCTATTACTCGAAAATAGAAATCTTATTAATTCTTTTTGTTTAACATTCCAAAACTATATTATTTTCATAAATATCGCAATTGTATATTATTGCCATAAATATCGCAATTGTATATTTTGTTAAGATTTTGAAATCCTTAAACGCGAAATATTAATCCAATATACACCTTTCCAAAATATAGCACAAAATAAACTAAAAAAAAAACAAAATCCTTTTCCATCGTATAGTAACAAAGTAACTACAAACAAGCATATAGCTTATCAATCAATCCGAAATGTGGTGAATTAAGATCTTTCAAAAACTTTCTCATCAAGAGTTAATCAACTCACGATGAAAAATACCATAGCATCATCTCAAAAACTATAAATATTTATCATTTGCACAACCTATTAGCATCCACTACACCACAACTGAAAACTATCATAAGAAAAAAGACCAAACCTATTATAACCTCAATGGCCATGTCACCTAAGGGCAAACACAATATGGGTGAGTTACTCTGACCAAGTTTATTGTAAGTTACATATCATATGGTAAACTTTAATAATAATTAATAACCAGTTTTTTTTTTCATGTGAAAGAATTGAAGCGTGTTAATATAAGCAAGAGATTTTGGCAAAACTAACTAAGAACTAAAACAAAATGAAATTTGTAACTATTCCAACCATATACTCTTATATATTAAAAAAGAAGTACACATTTAAGTCTTGCTTAAAATTGGCTTCAATTTCTAAAATTACCCTTAATTACATTTGTAACGCCCGTGTCTGAAATTTTGGTGGTGTCGACCGACACCAGTGTTGGGTGTCGATCTACATCAACAAAATTGGGTTAGACGGTTTAGCTATAAAACCGTCGGTTTAATTAGAATTGATTGCAGAAACCCTAGGCACGACTTTAAACTCGTGGAAGCAGCCTTTCTTTCTCACTTTTGGCTTTTGTTGCTTCTTGAAAAGAAAAGAGAGAGAGAGAGGGTTGTGAGTTGGTTGTTCCTAGAGCTTAAGGAGAGGCTTGTGAGGGTTTCTGGAGGTTTATGTTTATGTGATTTGTGAATTATGTGATTTGTGTTTATGTGATTTGTGTTTATGTGATTTGTGAATTGAATCCTTTGTGTTTGTGATGTTTTCTGGTGTTTGTGTGGCCTTATGTGATTGTTATTGAGTTGTGTCGTTGTGGGAGGTGATGTCTGGGTGCTATAGGGATTCTTTGGTGGCTAAGATCGTCGTTGGATGCGTTTCAGGGGGTGGGTGTCGACCGACACCAGGGGGGTGTCGATCGTCACCATTCGGTTGATCGCAGTGCAGTTTGGTGGTGTCGATCGACACAAGCTTTTGGTGTCGACCGACACCAGTTTTCTATGAGCGATAGTTGTGTTTTTGATTGCCTTTTTTGGCTGTTTGTGACATTGTTGTTGTATGGATGTGATCTTAAGTGCTTGTGTGTATAGGAGGATCGCTTCACTGAGTATTTGTGATAATACTCACGAATCTCATTGTGTTTGTGGTGCAGGTAAAGTGTGACGTGGAATCATGGCAATGAGGAGGAGGATGATATAGGGTCTTGGTTGTTATGTTATGAATATGTTAATTGTTGTTGGAACCTGGTTTAGAGGCATGCTAGGTTGCTTGTGTAAATTGTGGTTATTGAATGATTGATTAATTAATGTTATGATTAAATGGTGTTGGTTTAATATGTTTCCGGTGTGCATGATGGTTTATTGTTGAGTTAATTCGGTTAGATTAATTAGTGGGTATGGGACTATTATTTAATGAATTAAAAAAAAAAAAACGGGTCGGGTTTTTTCAACATTAAAAGGAAAATAGTTTTCTAAATTGAGAAGGGTAATTTACGTCATTTTTGGACAAAATTCAAAATGATCTGATATGTCTAACTGTTATCCGCGTGTTGGTCCGTTATAAAGTGGATAACTGACAACCATTGTTTGATCTGCAACGAAAACGTTTATTTTAATTTTATTTTTGTCGGCACATGTTATCTTCCTCCAGTTAAAATGATCTGATATGTCTAACTGTTATCCGCGTGTTGGTCCGTTATATATATATATATATATTTTAATTTTAACTGGAGGAAGATAACATGTGTAGATCGAATAATTGAATTTCATTTCTCGCCGTCTTCCGCCGTTAACTTCGTTCATCAACACCGCCATCACCATTGAAGTTGTTCTTCTTATAGATCCAACTTTCTCCCACAAAATCAGCCGCTTGCTCTGATTAATCTCTTTATAGATAGATCTTTCTAATCTTGCAGCTTCTGATTGGAATCCTCTGAAAAATAGAAATTTTCAGATCTTCGTCTCACACAAACTCGAAGATAGAAGCTCTGTTTCTTGACCTAACCTAGCATGAGGTCTACTTCATTCAAACGACGAAGAAATATATTTACGACAAAGATACT